TTGTGTCCTATCATGTGGTCTATCTTTGAGAATGTCCCATGTGCACTTGAGAAGAATGTGTATTCTGTAGTTTTGGGGTGTAATTCTCTGTAGATATCTATTAAATCCATTTGGTCTAGTGCTTCATTTAGAGTCTCTGTTTCCTTGCTAATTTTTTGCCTAGAGGATCTATCCAGTGCTGTCAACGGGGTGTTGAAGTCCCCTGCTATGATTGTATTGTTGTCGATTTCTCCTTGGAAGTCCTCCAGAAGATTTTTAATATATTTTGGTGTTCCTGTATTGGGTGCATATATGTTTATCAAGGTTATATCTTCCTGTTGGATAGATCCTTGCAATATTATGTAGTGGCCGTCTTTGTCTCTAGTTATGGTCTTCATTTTGAAATCTATTTTATCAGATATGAGAATTGCTACCCCAGCTTTTTTTGGCTTTCCATTTGCTTGGAAAAATTTTTTCCATCCCTTCACTTTCAACCTATGTGAGTCTTTTGTTGTGAGGTGGGTCTCTTGTAAACAACATATAGATGAGTCATGCTTTCTTATCCAATCAGCTACTCTGTGTCTTTTTATGGGAGCATTCAATCCATTTATATTTAAGGTGATTATTGATATGTACTTATTTATTGCCATTTTTGTTTAGTGTGGTTCTAGTTTTCTTCCCATTTCTACTGCTAATTACAGCAGTCCTTTTAACATTTCTTGCAGTGCTGGTTTGGTGCTAATGTATTCCCTTAGCCTTTTTTTTTTTTTGTCTGGGAAGCTCTTTATTTGGCCTTCTATTTTGAATGATAGCCTTGCTGGGTAGAGTAGTCTTGGATTCAGATTCTTGTTTTTCATGACTTTGGTTACTTCCTGCCATTCCCTTCTGGCCTGTAGTGTTTCTTGTGAGAAGTCAGCTGAGAGCCTTATGGGGTTTCCTTTGTAGGTCACCTGTTGCTTATCTCTTGCTGCTTTTAGGATTCTCTCTTTGTCTTTAATTTGTGGCATTTTAATTACTATGTGTCTTGGTGTGGGCCTGTTTGGGTTCTTCTTACTTGGGACTCTCTGTGCTTCTTGAACTTGAATGCCTTCTTCCTTCACCAAATTAGGGAAGTTTTCTGTCACTATTTTTTTGAATATATTCTCTATCCCTTGCTCATTTTCTTCTTCTTCGGGGACTCCTATGATGTGAATATTATTATGTTTCCAGTTGTCCCACAGTTCTCTTAAGCTGTCTTCCTGTTTTTTAATAGTTTTTTCCTTTTGTTTTTCTGATTGGTTGATTTTTTCTACCCTGTCTTCTAATTCACTGATCCGGTCCTCAGCTTCCTCTACTCTGCATTTTAAACCTTCCAATGTGTTTTTCATTTCTGATATGTCATTTTTTATCTCTTCTTGATGGTTTTTAATTTCCAGTTGGCTTATTTTCAGTGTCTCTATGTCCTTACTCATGCTGTTCAGCTTCCTCAAGATCATGGCTCTGAATTCTAGCTCTGTTAACATGCCTAATTGCTCCACATTGATCTCATCTTCGGTGGAGGTCTCTTGCTCTTTCATTTGGCTTCTGTTTCTGTGTTTCACCATTATGGGTATCACCGTGGGCTTTGGAGCCTATCAAGTTTTCCCTTGGGTGTTGGTGTTCTGCTGTTTGTGGCTCCCTCTCCGGGATGGAGTCAGTGTCCCTGGTTCTATGGTCCTCGCAAGCTGCTTTTCTGTTGCTTTTTCCCATCGATTTATAGTTGTTATAGTTGTAATTCCAGTTTGGTTCTGGGAGACGGTCTGTGTAGCTTCCGTTCACTCCGCCGCCATTTTTCTCCCTATTGTGTGCACAATTTTTAAAAACCTATCTGTAAATTACAATACCTGAGGTCTTTATTGATCTGTTCCTTCCATCTGTTGTGTCTGGTTTTGATTCTTCATGAAGTCTTGGGTGGCTGGTTTTCTCTATGTGCTGATCATCACCCTGAAAAATTATCGTGGTAGTTCCCTGAAGTCAAAGATAAATGTGACCTTCTTCTTTTTCTTTCTTTTTTTTTTTTTTTTTGTTGTTGTTAATCCTCACACGAGGATATTTTTCATTGATTTTTAGATAGAATGGAAGGGAGAAAGAGAGAGAGAGAGAAACATCAATGTGAGAAAAACACACCAGTTGGTTACCTCCCACGTGACCCCAACCAGGACCAGGGGTAGAACCTGCAACCCAGGTATGTGCCCTTGACTGGGAATCAAACCCAAGTCCCCTTGGTCCGCAGGCCAAAGCAGCCAGGGCAGATGTGCCCTTCTTCATAGAGACTTTTTATTTGCTTTTGCCAGAGGTTTGGGGTGCACTTCTAGACACTTATCACCTCAAAACAGGTTCCCAGTTCATGGCTTGAGATTTCTTGTGCTACCAGGCTCTAGTCTCTAGGGTGCAAAAGGACCTATCAATGGTACAAAGTCCCAAGGAAGAGCTTTGGAAAAATTCCCTTTACTTTTCCTTCAACTGTTCTTCTCAGCACCAAGGCAACCTTTCCTGAACTCACTTGGGTTAGTAGTATGGGGTATGCAGTAGGTTCATATCATATAAAACTTTGGAACCTCAGCTTAATGTGAGGAGGAGGTTCTTCTATAAGCGTACTGGCTTACTCCTATCACTTTGTCCTGATTAAATAAACAAAAGGCCAACTGTGAAACTTTCAGAGACAAACTGAGGAAGTACCAGCTGGCCTGGTACTCCTCTAAATAAATTTGTCCTCTAAACAAATTGATTAATTTTTAGAACTTATAAAATAAAATGAATAACATGATAGATATGTGCTGACCCAGTTCCTTTTCACCTCAGCTCCCTCCCACCTTCATTCCCTCCTGCTTATCGCTAACTGCCTCTACTTCTGTACCTGCTTGTTTGCTCTTCCCCAAGGCCAACAAGAAATGCCAGCTGCAGAAGTTTGTAACAAACCCCCTGTAAAATAAAAAATCAGCTGGAAGTCGGAGCTGATCTCCGAGAACTGGGGATCAGTCGCCGGCAGGCTTTGCTCTCTATTTAGCTTTAATTTGGCTCCGGTGGTCTCTCGGTTCTCTCGCGCCACAATATAAGATTCCCCACCTTGGACAAGCTCTGGACTCAATTCTGTCTCTCTTGTCCTATGTGGTTAATGAACTGAAACCTACATGTTCAATACTGGCAAATGCCCTCATGTCATAAGTAGCTTTGGTCCTCCAATAATCCAATCTTTCTATTAACTGGTTATCAGTTTTCAACCAATAATTGGACTGGGCACTCCCCAGACTTTTAAGCATTTCAGTGTTTTTCAGAAGATATTTTAATATTTTATGTAACATTACCACTATTTTCTTTTATTTATTGATTTTTAGAGAGAGAGGAAGGGAGTGGTAGAGAGAGATAGAAACATCGATGAGAGAGACTATCGTCTGGCCACTTCCTGCATGCCCTCCACTGGGAATTGGGCCCACAACCTGGGCATGTGCCTGACCAGGAATCGAACCGGCGACCCCTTGCTGCATGGGTCAACTCTCAACCACTGAGCCACACCAGCCAGGCATTACCACTATTTTCAGAGGAAGGATTACCTGAATTAACCAGTCTACTATTACTGAAAAAAAGAGAAAGAAAAAAAGAAGGAAGAAAGAAAATCCAGTTTCAGTGATAAAATAAGCCCAGCATAATTTCTCCTTCACTGACCTCTGACATCATCCCATGACACTGATCCAGGTAATATCAGAGATATATACCACATGGCCTAAGTGCTACCACTCAATGCATGTCTGTTATCCAATGACAACTCCACAGAATGACATCATACATAGGTGTCACTTTATCAATGCTTTGGGAGATGAGAACCCAAACTACATTGCCTCAACAAGCATATATTGGGCACCTGTCATGCTAATTGCTGGGGTTACAGCAGCAAACCAGACAAAAAAGTGAAAATTTTATGAAGAAAATAAAACAGGATAATGAGTCAAAGAGTGGGAAGTGCCGCTTTCAATGGGATATCTAGGAAGGTCTCTCTGAGGAGGTGGCATCTGAGCTGAAGCCTGACAGTTGAGAAAGCGCCAGCCATGGGAAGAACTGGAGTGACATATACCAGGCAGGGAAACAGCAACTGCAAAGGCGCTGAGGCTGGAGCGTTCTTGGAATGCTCAACGAACAACAAAGGAGGCCAGTTTGGCTGGAGAGGAATGAACGCGGGCATCAGTGACCCGACATAGGTTTATTTTTAAAATTTCTTTTATTTATTTATTTTCTATTGATTTTAGAAAGAGAAGAAGGGAGAGGGAGAGAAAGATAGAAACCTCAATGAGAGAGAACATTAATTGGCTGCCTCCTACATGTCCCCACTGGGTATTTGGCCCACAACCTGGACATGTGCCCTGATCGGGAATCCAACCGGCGACCTCCTGGTGCATGGGTTCATGCTCAGTCACCGAGCCACACCTGGCTGGGCCCAACATGAGTTTATATAGGGAAGCAAGAGCCAGATTATAGTCTTGTGTTGTGGACCGTGGGAAGGAGTTTGGATTTTAAAACAAATGGAAAACATTGATGGTGCCAAGTGATTTATGCTCAGAGAAGATCGCTATGATCACTGTGACTCAATCAGAATCGTCCTGGGTAAAGCTGGCTGCTCCCAGTATCACCATCCCAACTCTAGTGAGGGAGGCCCCGCTTTCCTGAAACTTGGGAAACTCGCAGGTGACACACCTTTTCCCCAAAGGAAACATGCTTTCTGATTGGACAAATCAAGTTGTAATTCTAAAATTCCTTGATGGGGGTGGGGAGGTCGAGTCGGGCGGAGCCCACTGTGATTAGTTACAAACTTTCCTTTTCTTCCAATCAGACCTCTATTCGGGAGAGTGCTCGTGTCTTGTGAGGTGAGTTTGTCCTGTGATTGGGTCTTCATATCTGAGTGACAGAAGTCACAGCCTATGGTCGTAAAGATGAGGAGGCGTCGCTCGGCGCAGAGGGTAAGGCAGCCTAAACCCGGGGCTGTCAGTGCACACCCGGCTTGGTGTTCCCCGAACCCCCGCGCGACACCGTCGCTATGGTCGCCCCGCCGCAGCTTCGAAGCCTTCTGCTGGCTGTCAACGCACTGTTGCGCAAGCGTCGCTACCACGCTGCGCTGGCCGTGCTTAAAGGCTTCCGGAACGGGGCAGTGTGAGTGGGGCCATAGATCCGGCGGGGGCTGAGGGACGGGCCTGGCTCCGGTCAGCGGCGAGGGTTCCCGGCCTGGCGCCGCTGCACTGTGTGCCCTTGAACAGCCGTAGGATGTCTCTCGGTTTCTGTGTCCACGATCTGCGCAATGGGCGCAGGATTTTGGGTCCCGAGCGCCTTCTGAGTCGGGGCTCCCACTACGCTCTTTCTGGGTCCTTCATGCTTTGTAACCTGGCTCTCTTGCCTTGACCACCTTCCTGCCAGTCTCTGTATTCCCTGCTCTGGATCCAGTTTCCCCCTCTCCCTACCCTCTCCGCTGTGTGCATTTGGGCCCCATCTGCAAAATGGGAAGCTGACCTTTGGTCTCTGGCCTCTAGCAGACCTCTGCCTATGTTCCCCTCCTCTCACTCCCGCATTAAGCTGGTCTTGGGCCCACATCCCTTTTCTTACTCCCCATCTGTATAACTCTAGCGCTAAGTCCCCATCTGGCACAGGGGACTCCGGGGGCCTAAGCCTCAGGAATGACAGAGAATGTTTTAAAAAGCTGCAAATACAGTACTTGCTGGGCAGACCTGCAGAAGACGAGGTCTTGGGGTCATTTCCCCTGCCTGGTGCATGGAGGGGAGCTCTGCCTCTTTTAAATCTGATGCACAATAGCTATCATTTATTGAGAGCCTACTGTGTCAGAACTGGGGATGCAGCAGAGGACAAAATGAATAAAGATCACTGTCCTCCTGGAGTTGGCATTATAGTGGCAGCCTGGCATGGTGATAAGGATGTGGACTGCCTCAGTTTGAATCCTGGTGTCACCTACTTGTGTGATCTTGAGCAAGTTATTTAGCCTCTCTAAGCCTCAAATTCTATAAAATGAGGATGATAGTAGTACTTATATTGTCATAGGATTGAGTCAATTAGTGTGTAATGCTTGGCACAGTGCCTAATATATATGTATAACTCTTGGCTGCTGTTATTGTTATATTTACATGGATTCTGCCTGGCTCACTTTCCTCACCCTTTTCAGGCCTCTGTGTTAACTCCTCAGTGAGGCCATCCTGAACTCCTCATCTTCTTCCCTACTTAATTTTTCTCCATAGTACTTGTCACTATCTGACACTGAGGAGTTCACTCATGTATCCTGTTTTTATACTCTATGTCTTCCACTAGAAAGTGAGCTTAATGGGGACAGAATTTTTATGTATTTTGTTTTTTGGTGTATTCCTAGTACCTGGTATATCAATGTGCATCTCTACAAAAAAGAGCATTTTCTTTTTCTTTAAAAAATTTTTTTTCTTTATTGATTTTTAGAGAGAGAGAAAGGGAGAGAGAGATAGAAACATCCATGAGAGAGAACATTGACTGGCCGCCTCCTGCATGCCCCCCATGGGGAACCGGGCCCATAACCTGGGCATGCGCCCTGACTAGGAATCAAACCAGTGAACTCTTGGTGCATGGGTCGACGCTCAATCACTGAGCCACTCCAGCTGGGCAGCATTTTCTTTTATGGCTAAATTATCATGATTACATTTAATAAGTTAATATTAATCCTATAATATTGTCTGCTGTCCAGTCAATAGTCAAATTGTTTCAGTTGTCCCCCAAATGTTCTGTATAGTTGGTTTGTCCAGACCAGGATCCTTCAGGACATCACATTGCACCTGTCATTATCTCCTTTAAGTCCTTTTAAATCTAGGGTATCCCTTTTTTTCAGGACATAGAATAATCCTATGAACAGTAGTAACCTGCTCTCCCCGAGTTTGAAGACTTTGGGAAGGGGGTCTGGCAGATGTAGGGAGTTGAGGGCACTGTTCTGCTTGTGTCTGAGGCATAAGGAAGGGTCCTTTGAGCCCTGGTCACCTGAAGGAGTCTGAGAGCTTTTGTTCAGGAGAGAAAGAGATGACTTTGGATGAGGCAGGACAAAGAGCTTTCTGGGGCCAGGATGGAGGTCCTGCCCACTGCAATGCAGGGGAGAAGATAAGCTTTAACCTGTTAACATTCTTATTTTGTTAGCTTACTTTTTTTAGTTAGGTAACATTCACAAAAGGCATAGAAAGTTAAATGCTAGAAGGTTCTGCCCACCCTGTCCTTCCATCACATAGTCCCCCCCGATGGTGACCCCTGTGTCTAGTCTCATGTCTCCTTCCCTACTTGTTTTTGTCTGCATAGACAAATACATGCATTCTCCTCCCACATCTATTAAACAAGTTTTATTTTGAAATGCTCTTAGATTTATAGAAGAATTTCCTCATTTTACATAATTTTACATTTTACACACCTTGCTCTAGTGAAACCTTGTACTGCACATAAAGCCACCTCATTCTTTTTTTTTTTTTTGTATCCTCACCTGAGGACATTTTTCCATTCATCTTTAGATAGAGCAGGAGGGAGAGAGGGAGGACCAGAGAGAGACATATCAAGTGGCTGCTACCCACACAACCCCAACAGGGGTTGGGGACAAACTACAACTGAGGTACATGCCTCTAGCAGGAACCGAACCCGGGTCTCTCTGGTCCACAGGCCAACACTCTAAGCGCTGAGCCAAACTGGCCAAGGCAAGCCACCTCATTCTTTTACTGCTATTTAGTATTCCACTGAGTGGAGGGACCATTATTTATTTACCCAATAACTCCACCTGTGGATAGACACTAGTTTGCTTCCAGTCTTGTGCTATTTCAAACGAGCCTACAGTGAACATTCACAGATACTCATATGACAACAATATATGACTATGACCATTGTTTCAAGGAGGCTGCTATGGATTTTTATCCTCACCCGAGGACATTTTTCCATTTTTTGTTCAGATAGAGTGGGAGGAAGAGAGAGAGAGAAACATCAACATGAAAGGGACACATCGAGTGATTGCCACCTGCACGACCCGACCAGGGCGGGGGACAAACTGCAGCCAAGGTACATGCCCTTAGCGGGAACCGAACCCAGGTCTCTCTGGACTGCAGGCTGACGCTCTAACCGCTGAGCCAAACCAGCCAGGGCCTGCCATGGATTTTTAGACCTTGTAGCCCGGTCAGATCAGGACCTGGCAACTGGAGAACTTGGTAAGGGAAAGGGGAGTCCAATAAAGAAGAACAAGAAAGAAAGAGATGTTAACATTAGTTAAACTAGGAACTTTCACATGTGCTATGTCCTTACCTACCAGAAGCAACTCTGAAATGGGGAATACTTTTTTTCCATGGATTTTTTTGGAGAGAGTTGAAGGGAGGGAGGAATGGGGGAGAGAAACAAAGCCCTGGCCAGTTTGGCTCAGCAGTTACAGCATCAGCCTGCAGTCCAGAGAGACCCAGGTTCGGTTCCTCCTAAGGACGCATACCTCGGTTGCAGTTTGTCCCCGGCCCTGGTTGGTCGTGCGGGTGGCAGCCACTCGATGTGTCCCTTTCACATCAATGTTTCTCTTTCTCTCTTCCTCTCTCTCCTTCCCACTCTGTCTGAACAAAAAATGGAAAAATGTCCTCGGGTGAGGATTAAATAAATAAATAAATAAATAAATATAAATAAATAAAGAGAAACATTGATGTGAGACACATCGATGGGTTGCCTCCCGCATGTACCCCGACCAGGGCTGGGGAGCAAACCAGAAATTCAGATACGTGCCTTTGACCTGGAATCGAAGCTTTCATCTATAACCCTTTCATCTGGGGACTGATGCTCTAACCACTGAGCAAAACTGACCAGGGCAAATGGGGAATACTTTTTACTGATGAGAATAGGGTGGCTTAGGGAGGTTAAGTGATTTATTTAAGTTTATACAGCAAAACATGGCAGGAGTTGGACACCAAATACTATTTCCTTTCTGTGACCCACTTTGAACTTAGATCTAACTCAAAAGCTATCATTTCCCCTCCTAAAATGATGTTAGGATTAGAGATGGGGGAGAGGGGGAGACAAGAGGTAGCCCAGAAAAAAGCTGATACTGTGATACTGTAGTAACTGTTTTCTTTTGTTTCTACAGCTATGGAGCCAAAATCCGGGCCCCTCACGCACTGGTCATGACCTTTCTCTTTCGGAGTGGCAGGTATCCACCCCCTCTGCACACCCCTCAAACTGGGAGAGAATGTAGTCAGCCCTCAGTGCTAGGGCTGTTTCAATAGCTTCCTAGCTGGGTCTAGCCACCACCTCCTAAAGAATAACTCTGATTCTATTATCCCTGCTGGAAAAATCCCTTGGGTCCCACTCCCTCCAAAGCCCAACTTACAAGTGTGGCCTTTAAGACCCTCAGCAGTTTGGCTTCAGCTGCATCCCTACCCTGTTTTCCCATGTTCAGCCAGGGGTGCCTTTGGCACACAGGACTTGCTGTCATTCCACGTACATGCCACATGTGGTTCTACCTCCATACATTTACTCATGTGGTATTCCCCGCCAGAGGTGCCCTTTCTTCTTCTACCCCACCTTTATTTCCTTTTTAGCACCCATACCAGTTCTCTGAGGATCACTTTCTCAGAAAACTGTCCATGACCTCCCTTCTTTGCTCAAACTTCTTGGCCTTCCTCTGATCTCTCATAAGTCTTCCTTCAAGGCACTTCTCAGAAAACACCTTGTGATCTAGTTTTTAATGTATATAGTCAGTATGTTTTTATTGATTTTTGGAGAGAGGGAGAGGGAGAGAGAAATAGAAACATTGATCGGCTGCCACCTGCACACCCCCTACTGGGGATCGAGCCCACAACCCGGACATGTGCCCAGACCGGGAATTGAATCAGCGACCTCTTGGTGCATGGGTTGACACTCAACCACTAAGTCACACCAGCCTGGCTGACTTATCTTTTAATAGTAGGAGAGTGAACAGTTTGCTGTCAAATTAAAAACAGATGGGAGTGGGTACAAAGGGCAGAAGTAGGTGTGAAGTAGGAGACTGTGGCAATAATCCAGGTGAGCAACACTGGTGGCTCAGACATTCATGGTGGGAGTGGAGGTTAGAAGTGGTCCAATTCTGGAAATAATTTGAAGACAGGATTAGTGTTAACACTTAAAAACTGGGAAATCTAACTTGTCTTAGAACTGGCAACACTAGACCCATGTTCCTATGGGGTGAGAACCAGCTGATTTCTGGCTATGCCCAGTCACCTGACAGATATCCAGGTCCTAGGAGACCCACTCCAAGGTCCTCATCTAGCCTTGAGGGCACTTGGGTTTACCATTCTTGAATTGATCTTACAGAATACAGTCTGCCTTTCTCCCTGTGTTTTTCTCACTGCCCCCAAGTGATTTAATTTTATTTATTACTATTTAAAATTCTTTAATTGATTTGAGAGAGAGAGAGAAACAGAAACATCTATGTGAGAATGAAACATTGATTGGCTGCCTCCTGTATGCCCTCTACTGGGGATCGAGCCCACAACTCAGGCCTGTGCCCTGACCAGGAATTGAACCGGCAACCTTTTGGTGTGCAGGACGACAGGCCATCAACTGAGCCACACTGAGCACGGCTGTTGTTCCACTTATTTGTGTATTCACTGGTGGATTCTTGTACGTGCCCTGACAGGATCGAACCCACAACCTTGGCGTATGGGGACAATGCTCTAACCAACTGAGCTAACCAGATAGGGCTCCAAGTGATTTCATTTTTTTTATTTTTTTATTTTTTTATTTATTTTATTTATTTATTTTTTTATCCTCACCCGAGGACATTTTTCCAATCTTTGTACAGATAGAGTGGGAGGGAGAGAGAGAGAGAGAGAAACATCGACGTGAAAGGGACACATCGAGTGGCTGCCACCCACACGACCAACCAGGGCCGGGGACAAACTGCAACCGAAGTACATGCCCTTAGCGGGAACCGAACCCGGGTCTCTCCGGACCGCAGGCCAATGCTCTAACCGCTGAGCCAAACCGGCCAGGGCCAAGTGATTTCATTTTTAAGGATAAATCAACTACCCCCCTACTTAAATGTTTGCTTCTCTCAGGATAAAGACAAAACTTAGTATGGCCTTACTTACCATCCTACATTCCCTACATCCTTTGCCCACACATCTCTGCTCAGGTTTCTCTCTGTTCCTTTACTCCTCATTTTGTCTCTCCTCAGGATCTTTGCTGATCCCTCTGCCTGGGATGCATCTCCTCTCCCCTCCTGACCCCATTGACTCCTTATCCTGCAGATCCCAGGATCATCTCTTGTCAAAGTCAAAGTTTGACCCTTGCTTTATGGTTATATTTCCCTCTCTCATTAGATCATAAGCCTCATGAGGGCAGCAAGCTAATCTGTTTTTCCCAGAATTGTATCCCCAGGTCCAGCACATAATAGGCACTAACTCCCTCATCATTCATTTCTCCACATGTTCACTACAAGAAAATATTTACTGAGCACCTATTCTGTGTCAGGCCCTGTTCTGGGCTCTAAGGATGAACAGTCAGTTATAGACACCATGCTCTGGTACCTTCTACTGGGATGGGCTGGGAGTGAGGGAGATAATAAACAAGCATATAGCCCTGGTTGGTTTGGCTCAGCCTGTGGTCCAGAGAGACCCGAGTTCAGTTCCTGCTAAGGGCATGTACCTCAGTTGCAGTTTGTCCCCGGCCCTGGTTGGTCGTGTGGGTGGCAGCCACTTGATGTGTCCCTTTCACATTGATATTTCTCTCTCTCATTCTTCCTCTCTCTCCCTCCCACTCTACCTGAACAAAAGATGGAAAAATGTCCTCGGGTGAAGATAAAAAAAAACAAAAAACAAGCATATAAATGTCAGGTGGTGATAAGACCTATGAAGGAAAAAATGTAGGGCAAAGGGACAGATACGAGGTACATTCTTTTATGTAGTGGTCAGGGAAAGCCTCTGAGCAAGTGGCATGGAGTAAAGGCCTGCATCAAGTGTGGCAGCAGCCCCCAGGACATGGAGGTTAGAGGCCTGGGGTTGAATGAGCATGGGCCCTGAGCTCTTTGCCTGGTTTAGTTTTGCATGCTGTGGGGGAATGCCCTCTGTATAGCTGGGCCTGGGCTCATGGTGGCTTTTTGTGTTTGTACAGCCTCCGGGAGAAGCTTCGGGCCATCCTGCAGGCCACATACACCCACTCTTCTAATCTGGCCTGCTTCGTGTTCACCTACAAGGGGCTCTGCGCCCTGCAGTCCCACCTGCAGGGTGAGACCTGCCAGGTGCACTCATTCCTGGCTGCCTTCATTGGGGGCTTTCTGGTGTTTGGAAATAACAATAACATCAACAGCCAGGTAAAAATCTTCCCCAGGAATGTGTGTGTGGGCCAGTTGGGTTTGAGGTGGGATGTGGTTCAGGTATGAGTTGGGGGTGGAGGCCAAAGAAGACGAGCTCTTAGGTCCCTTCCAATTCTGAGGGTCCATGATTCACCAGTCCCTCTGTGACCTCGGGAAGGTCACTACCTCCTCAGTTTCCTCATCTGTAAATCAAGCAGCTTGTTGGAATTTTATGGTTCCCAAAATCAATGTGTTTTGCTTTCTGGGGCAAAGGTTTTTTTTTAATTAAGAAAATAACTCTGCAGTGAAATAAGAAAAAAGAAAAATGACCTTGGAGTATGATTTTCATAAAACAAAATTTATTAAAGAATAGCTTCTTGCCCTGGCCAGTTAGGCCCGCAGACTCTGGTCAAGGGCATGTACCTTAGTTGCGGTTCATCCCCGACCCTGGTCAGGGTCATGCGGGAGGCAACCAGTTGATGTGTCTCTCTCACATCTATGTTTCTCTCTCTCTCCCCTTCCCATCCATCCTATCTGAAGATAAATGGAAAAATATTCTTAGACAAGGATTAAAAAAAAAAAAAAAAAAAGAATTGCCTCTTATTCTGTAACTTGACCTTTTTGTGGGTTAAAATTATTTTTATTTATGTATTATTTTTTATATTACTTTTTTTTCTTTATTGATTTTTTAGAGAGAGAGGAAAGGAGAGGGAGAGAGAGATAGAAACATCCATGAGAGAGAACATGGATTGGTCACCTCCTACATGCCCCCCACTGGGGATTGAGCCCACAACCTGGGCATGTGCCCTGACCAGGAATCAAACCGGCGACCTCTTAGTACATGGGTTGACGCTCAGCCACTGAGCCACATCAGTCGGGCTATTTATTTATTTTTATTAATTTCAGAGAGAGTGAGAGCGAAACATCAATCAGTTACTTCCTGCATGTGCCCAGACCCAGAGATTAAACCTGAAATCTGGGTATGTGCCCTGTATGGGAATCAAACTCATCACCTTTTGGTGCACAGGACAACACTCCAACTAACTGAGCCACATCAGCCAGGGCAAAAATTATTTTTAAATGAAACTAAATGCTGCTTATTGTTTTTTTTTTTGTTTTTGTTTTTTATTTTTTAGGGAGTGAGGGGGGAAGAGAGAGAGAGAAACATCGATGTGAGAGAGACACACGATGTTGCCACCCACACGACCCCAACCGGGACTGGGGACAAACTGCAACTGAGGTATGTGCCCTTAGCAGGAACCAAACCCGGGACCCTCTAGTCCGCAGGCCAATGCTCTAACCGCTGAGCCAAATGGGCCAGGGCGGCTTATTGTTTTAAAGTCCTTGTGTAACATGAAAAGTTGACAGCCCCTCTATTTCCGTCCCTCAAATTTATTATTATTTTATTCATTTATTTATTTTTTTAATCCTCACCCAAGGATATTATCCCATTAATTTTCAGATAGAGCGAAAGGGAGGGAGGGAAAAAGAGAGAGAGACACATCTACTGGTTGCCTCCGCATGACCTCAGCTGGGGCCGGGGACTGAACTGCAACCAAATTATGTGCCCTTGACCGGAATTGAACCCAAGACTTTTTGGTCCATGGGCCAACACTCCAACTGCTGAGCCAAATCGGCCAGGCTACTTTTCCCTCAAATGTATTAAATATTTTTAAATTATAAAAATAAGTTTTAGCCCTGTCCGGTTTTTCTGTGGTTAGAGCGTCGGCCTGCGGACCAGACAGACCCGGGTTCAGTTCCCACTAAGGGCACATACCTCGGTTGCAGTTTGTCCTCGGCCCCAGTTGGGGTTGTGTGGGTGGCAGCCAGTCGATGTGTCACTCTAACATCGATGTTTCTCTTCCTTCCTTTCTCCCTCCTGCTCTATCTGAAGATAAATGCAAAAAAAGTTTTATTTTCACATTTTAGAAAATACAAACTAAGCAGCCTCTATGTGCCTGGCATACTTCTAGGTGCTTAGGATACATAATGATAAAAGTAGAAAATAGCCTGGTCAGTGTGGCTCAGTGGTTGAATGTCGACCCATGCACCAAGAGGTCGCGGGTTTGATTCCCAGGCAGGACACAGGCCCAGGTCGTGGGCCAAATCCCCAGTGGGGGGCATGCAGGAGGCAGCCAATCAATGTTCTCTCTCATCAATATTTCTATCTCTCCGTCTCCCTTTCTCTCTCTCTCAAATCAGTAAAAGAAAAAAAAAAGTAGAAAATAAAGTTTCTGTTCTCCTCCAATTGTCAAGCCACTGTCCAGGGACGGTCACTTTAACTGTGTCTTGTGTAGCCCTTCAGAAATTGTCTGTGCTTGTGTCAGTGTACATAGCAGGAGTTTTCCACCAATGAGATCATACTGCACTTTTTTTTTTCATAGAATGATGTATCTTAGAGACCTTTCTTGTCAGTCCTTCATCCTTTATAATATCGGAGCTCTCCACTGCTGGGTGGATTGACCAGCCTTGATTTCACCAGACTCCTCTGGATGGACATTTAGGGGGTCTATAGCCTTTTGCCATTACACACATGCAGTCCACATCTTTGTTCGGACATCTTCTTGCACATGTATCAGACTGTCGGAAAGTTACTACACATAGAATTGTGGAGTCTGTGGATATGAGCATTTTGTATTTTGAGAAAATTTCCTCAGTTTTATATTTGTTAGAAATTTCACTTACAAAGACTAGTAATCCTGGTCATACCATCTCTTTCCCCCTCCCCTCCTTTCCTGGCAACAACTCTTACCTCCATTTCTAAAATCTTGTCATTTCAACAGTGTTATATAAGTGGAGTCATACATTATGCAACTTTTGGGGGTTGGCTTTTTTTACTCAGCATAATTTGCTGGAGGTTCATCCAAGTTGTTGCATCTGTCAATAGTTCATTTCTTTTTATTGCTGAGTGATGTTCCATTGCATGACTATACCACAGTTTGTTTAAACATTCACCCCTGAAAGGACATCTGAGTTGTTTCCAGTTTTTGACTATTAGGAATACATCTGCTAAGAACATTCTTGTACAAGTTTTTGAGTGAGCATTAGTTTTCATTTCTCTGGGTTAAATGCCCAAGAGTGCAATTGCTGGGTCAAATGGTACATGCATGTTTAATTTTATAAGAAACTGGCAAACTATTTTGCACAGTGACTGCTATTTTACATTCCCATCGGGAATATATACAAGTGATCTAGTTCTTCCATATCCTAGCCAGTGTTTGGTTCATCACATTTTATTTTTATTTATTTATTTTTCTCTATTGATTTTAGAGAGAGAGGAAGAGAGAGGGAGAGAGAGATAGAAACATCGATGAGAGAGAACATTGATTGGCTACCCTCTGCATGTCCCCCATAGGGGATTGGCCCCACAACCTGGGCATGTGCCCTGACTAGGAATCAAACCAGTGACCCTTTGGTGCATGGGTCGACGCTCAACCACTTAGCCACACTGGCCAGGCTTATCACATTTTATTTTATTTTAGCCATTTTGATAGGTGTGTAGTGTCATCTCATTGTGGTTTTAAATTTGGATTTTCCTGATGGCTAATGATGTTGAACAGCTTTACATGTGCTTATTTTCCATCTGTATAATCTCTTCAGTGAAGTATCTGTTCATTTCTTTTGCCCATTTTCTAATTGGATTTTTTTTACTGTTGAGTTTTGAGTTTTTAAAAAATGAATATCAGATTCTAGTCTTTGTCAGATATTTTGTTTGTAAATATTTTCTCCCACTCTATAGCTTTTCTTTTCAGCCTCTTCAAATTGGCTTTCACAACCAAAAAAAGTTTAATTTTGATGCGATCCAGTTTATCAAATTTCTTTTCAGGGATTTTTTTTTTTTTTTTTTTTTTTGGTGACATTACTTTTTGGTTTTGAACCATGTAAATGTATTCATTTTTTTCATTTTTTAATAAAAAAGCCCTGGCTGGTTTACCTCAGCGGTTGGAGCATCGGCCTACGGACCAGAGAGTCCTGGGTTCAGTTCCCACTAGGGGTACATACCAAAATAAATAAATAAATTCTTTAAAAAAATAAAAAATAATACTAATTAAAGATGTAAAATAGTAATTTTTAAATTTCAGATACCACTTCAAAACATCTCGCACATCAACTTTGAAAAACTGATCCATGCATGGGGGTGGGCAGAAGGTTCCCAGTGGTTGTGCACACCTGTAATCCCCTGTCACTCCCTCCCTGCAGATCAACATGTACCTGTTGTCACGTGTCCTGTTTGCCCTGTGCCGCCTGGGAATAAAGAAGGGCTACATTCCTGAACCCAAGTGGGACCCATTCCCATTGTTCAGCTCGGTAGTGTGGGGGCTGGTGCTGTGGCTCTTTGAGTACCACCGGCCCACTCTGCAGCCCTCGCTGCAGTCCTCCATGACCTACCTGTACGAGGACAGCAATGTGTGGCACGACATCTCAGACTTCCTCATCTACAACAAGAGCCGTCCCTCGAAGTAACGCGGCCCTGGAGTGCTTATGGGCGCTTCTACCTGAGTAGGCTCTGGGCGTGTCCAGCTGTGGTTTGAGATTGGCTCCATCAGTGAAACCTTTATCAGTGAAACCTCAAGATCATGGCTCTCAGGCTTCAACTTTTATTATCCCAGGGTTCCGTTGTCCAAAGCAAAAGCACCACTTTCAAATCCCATTAGGTACTCTTGAATGGCGGAACAAGTGGCCGAATAAGGATGAGGAGCCTTGGGCATGGTTTCAGCTGTACTGCTAACTTCTGTGAGACCAGGAAAAGTCACCCTCTTCTCTAGGCCTCAGGGGTTAGAGAAGGGCCCCGAAATCTCTTTCTGGTGGAGCTCAGAGGAGGGCCCCGAAATCTCTTTCTGGTGGGTATGTTCTTTGGCTGCTCTTATGCTGGTGGGTAGTGGGTTTGCAAATATCTTTTTATAAAATATTAAGTTCCTTGTCTCAGGTGTGCTATTTGAGAAGCTCTAGAGTGCCACTGTCCAGTGAAACATAATGACAGTCATATACGTAATTGAACATTCTCTAATAGCCACATTAAAAAAAAAAAAAAAAGTGGACACCTGGCCAGTGTGCTAAATGGTTAGAGCATTGTCCCACACACCAGAGGGTCATTTCCCGGTCCAGGGCATGTACCTGGGTTGCATGTTTGATCCCTGGCTCTGGTAGGGGCACATGTGGGAGGCAACCGATCAATGTGTCTCTCTCACATCAATGTTTCTCTCTTGCTTGCTCTCCCCCTCCTTCCCTTCCCCTTCTACTCTCTCTAAAAATCAGTGGAAAAAAATATCCTTGGGTAAGGATTAACAACAACAACAAAAGTGAAAAGAAATAGATGACATTAACCTTAATTATATATTTTAGTCCAAATTTCTAAAATGTTATCATTTCAACATGTAATTAATATGAAAATTAATGAAGTCTTTTATATTATTTTTCTTTCTTTTTTTTTTTTATCCTCACCTGAGGACACTTTTCCATCTTTTGTTCAGGTAGAGTGGGAGGGAGAGAGAAGAACAGAGAGAGAGAGAGAGAAACATTGACGTGAAAGGAACACATCGAGTGGCTGCCATCTGCATGACTGACCAGGGCCAGGGACAAACTGCAACCGAGGTACATGCCCTTAGCGGGAACCGAACCCTGGTCTCTCAGGACCGCAGGCCGACCCCAAACCGGCCAGGGCTATATTATTTTTCTTATACTAAGTCATCAAAATCAGGTATGTGTTTTACACTTATAGCACATCTCAATTTAAACCAGTCACATTTCAAGTGCTCAGTCAGTAGCCACATGTGGCTAGTGGCGACTGTATTGAACTATACAGATATAGTATGGATATAGAGCTAGAGTACATGGGTTTGAGTCCCCACTCCAGCACTGTGTAACTTTAAGGCAGGTTCTTGACCTCCCAGAACCTTAATTTCTTCTAAAATGAGGATGATTGTAATAATACCCAGTGTCCACATTGGACTTGTATAACTACAACTGCTGCCATTACAACGGATTGTATGCATTTAATGAACTACTTCCTCCTGGGTGATTTGCACATCTTATTTTTAATACATACAATGACCTTGCAGGTCTGTATTTTGATTTTTATTCTACAGATGTGGAAACTGAGAATCAGAGAAGGAAGGTAACTTGCCCAAGGTATAAAGCTAGTATGGTAGCCCTATCAGGGTTCAAACCCAGATCTATCTGATTTCAAAGCCTATGTGCTTTTCAGTGCCTTACTTTAAATTTAGAAACCTAAGCTAACCTATGCAAATGTTAACTAGTGCTAGGGTCTGTTCCAAACTCAAATGCCTACAGGGGCCTGGCAGTGCCATAAATGGTTATGTTCTGGGTGCTTTGCAGTAGGGATTGATGGTGAACTGGAGACTCGCGTGCAAGTCTGATATTTTAAAACCAACCTGGGCAAATCAATCAGGTCTCCAGGAAGATTTAGTCCATGACCCACCAATCGGAGGCCTTTAGCCTAATAGGAATATTTCAGTTTCTTTTTGTATTTTATTTTATTTATTTTTTTAATCCTCACCTGAGGATATTTTTGTATTTATCTTCAGATAGAGTGGGAGGGAGGGAGAGAGAGATTGATGTGAGAGAGACACATCAACTGGTTGCTTCTCATATGACCCTGATGAGGACCAGGGATGAACTGCAACCTAGGTACATGCCCTTGATCGGAATCAAACCCGTGACTCATTGGTCCACACTGATGCTCTAACCACAAAGCCAAACTGGCCAGGGCTCTTTTTTTTTTTTCATCCTCACCCTAGGACATTTTTGCATTTATCTTCAGATCGAGCATGAGGGAGAGAGGGAGGAAGAGAGAGAGAAACATCGATGTGAGAGAGACACATCAAGTGGTTGCTACCCACATGACCCCAACCAGGGCTGGGGACAAACTGCAACCAAGGTACATGCCCTTAGTGGGAACCGAACCCGGGCCTCTCTGGTCTGCGGGGCCGACGCTCTAACCATTGAACCAAACCAGCCAGGGCCCAGGGCTCTTTTTATATTTTAGAACTTACTAATAGAAATGTGCACATGAATCACTGGAGATCTTATTAAAATGCATATTCTGATTCAATGGGTTTGGGATGGGGCCTGAATATTTTACATGTCTCACGACTCCCAGGTATTGCTGCTGCTGCTGCTGCTGGTGGTGGTGATCTGAACCACACCTTGAGTAACAAGATAGTAGGGCATGATATGGGGCCAACTGTTATCCCATGTGACAAATGAGTTAACAAGTTAAACAGAGCTGAGCTGTTAGGTAACAGAGCAGGGATTAGGTCTGATTCTCACAGCTGTGTTCTCAGCTACGCCTTACTGCAAACTTGGAGAAAGTGATCTTGAAGTTCTATTAGTTCACTCTGTGGAGACTGAATGAGATCCCAAGGTTATGGGGAGGGGAAGAGGTGGCCACCAGCAAGCAGGTTTTATAGCTGGGGGTGCCTGGCCCAAATCTCCTCTAGCTTACCACTTTGGTGCATACAGCCAGCTTTTCCAACTGCCACCCCTATGTTTTGCTGCTTGAGGGCTCTCACTTGCCACTGGTACCAGCCTTGCCGCCCTGCAGCAGACCTGCAGTGCTGCAGAATTAACACACCCAGGGCACAGCTCTCAACCTATGACTGATAAATAGCCCCACCCAGGCACCCTGCACCCAGTAGGGGTGCTCCACTCTGGCTCCCAGGGTGTCCCAGCAGGACTGAGCTCTGTTTGCCCACAGTGATTTGCTTGATAACACCCCCTTCCCTGTCTACCTTCCTCATGTCCCTACCAGTGCTTCCTGAGACCACTTCCCATACAAACCACTTATACTCAAATCCTTGTCTTGGGGTCTGCTATTGGGGGAACCCAAACTAAAATTAGCTTCTGATGCAACAGGTTGAGAGACAGTATAACATGGTGGTTGGGGACATAGGCTTTGTAGCCAGTGTCTGGGCTCAGCTCTGGTTCTGCTGTTACCTAGGGCAAGTGACTTAACCATGCTGTGCCTGTGTTTCATCATCTGTAAGGTAGGTGTTCTATAAGGCGATCTGGAGGATTAAATGACTTGACACACATAATTAAGCACTCAGTAAATGTTTGCTGTTATTTCTAATAGCGTCCAAATGTAGAAGGAAGTGTGGTCCTGAGAATGAGTATCCCTTGTTTCAACCTGCTCTACCCCCCAGCTGAAGGTAAAGCCTTGGCTGCCTGCTCTCCCCACATCCCCCCCGCCACTGGAGGTTGGCTGGCTCTACGACCGACTGTCTCTGCTCTCTAAGAATAGGTTTCCCTCACAGATGGCATCTCTTTGGATCCTGCCAGAGCATCTGGTGCCTCCAACTGCTCACTCCAGGGAGGAAGGCGGTGTGGTCCTTGCCGAGGAGCAGAGTGCTGGCTTCCAGCAGACCTGGAAGGAGTCCCCACCAGGCTCCCTCCCGGCTGAGTCTCCATTTCCTAAGATCAGTAAAACAGGCATTGCCAAAGGACCCTTGGCACACAGTAGGCACTTCATGAATGCTAGTTCCCTAAACAGCATAGTGGTTTACATGTTTGTTTATTAAGCACCCACTACATTCCTACAAAGCCTTCTGGCATGCAAGACTGTAAATAATTTTTTTATTTTAATCCTCACCCGAGGATATTTTTCCATTAATTCTTAGAGTGGAAGGAAGGGAGGGAGAAAGAGAGAAAGGAACGTTGATGTGAGAGAGGAACATCGATTGGTTGCCTCCCGCACAACCCCAACAGGGCTGGGGACAACTGCAACCGAAGGGTATGCCCCTGATGGCAATCAAACCCAAGACCCTTTGGTGACCTTTTGATGGTCAGAGCATCGGTCCACAGGCCAATGTTAAGCAAACCAGTCAGGGCTAAACAATAACTTTTTTTTTTTTTTAAATCCTCATCCAAGGACATTTCTCCATTTTTTGTTCAGACAGAGTGGGAGGGAGTGAGAGAAAGAGAGAGAGAGAGAGAAACATCGACGTGAAAGGGACACATTGAGTGGCTGCCACCCGCACGACCAACCAGGGCCAGGAACAAACTGCAACCGAGGTACATGCCCTTAGTTAGAACTGAACCCGGGTCTCTCTGGACCGCAGGCCAATGCTCCAACGGCTAAGCCAAACTGGTCAGGGCAACAATAACTTTTTAAACAATATTTTTTATTGATTTTAGAGAGCAAGGAAGGGAGAGAGAGAAACATTGACTTAAGAGCATAACATCAACTGATTGGCTGCCTCCTGCAGGGAATCAAGCCAAAACCCAGGCATATGCCCTGACCAGGAATTGAACTGGCAACCTTTGCGTGCACAGGATGACACCCAACCAACTGAGCCGCACCAGCCTGGGCTGTAAACAAACTTTTTAATTAATAACATACACATAGTACACATTTTGAATGGTACAAAAGATGTGTAACAGAAAAGTCTGGTTCCTCCTACAACCCAAGCTCCATCCCTTACCCCTCCCTTGCCAGGGGCACTCATTGTGAACACTTTCCAGTACAGCCTTCCAGAGATATTCTATGCACAGCCACCTATCTTTTTTAAAAATTGATTTTATTTTATTTTTATTATTATTATTTTTAATCCTCACCCGAGGACATTTTTCCATATTTTGTTCAGATAGAGTGGGAGGGAGAGAGAGAGAGACACATCGATGTGAAAGGGACACATCGAGTGGCTGCCACCCGCACGACCCAACCAGGGCCGGGGACAAACTGCAACCGAGGTACATGCCCTTAGCGGGAACTGAACCCGGGTCTCTCTGGACCGCAGGCCGACGCTCTAACCACTGAGCGAAACCAGCCAGGGCTAAAAATTGATTTTAGATAAAGAGGAAGGGAGACAGAGAGAGAAAGAAGGAAACATCAATGAGAGAGAACATCAGTTGGCTGCCT